CCCGTCATCACCACTGTCAAGAGCGGGGTGCCCTGGGCTAGGCCTGGGAGGCTGTTCCCATTCCCGGCTCCATCACTGCCTTGCTGTGTGTCTTTGAGGGGAGTGACCCAGCTTCTCTGGGCCCCTTCTCCCTGTCTATGAAATGCCAGGGTTGGAGTAGTTCAGCATTTCCCAAAGCATGATATAACCCACTGCTATCAAGTTGATTCCAACACATAGCAACTCACCAGGACAGAGCAGAACCGCCCCATAGGGCTTCCAAGGCTGCAAATCTTTAGGGAAGCAGACTGCCTCCTCTTTGTCCCGCAGAGTGGCTGGTAGGTTTGAACTGCCGACCGTTTGGTTTGCAGCCAAGCACTGTAACTGCTGATCAGAGGCTCCTTAAAGCACGATAGTGTCTGCAGTTTCACATGGTTTCTGCAAGAAGGTTGTAAAATGTGGGTTGTGGTTTCAGCTGAGTGTCCGTCAGGGAAACACGGACCTGGCCCCCGACCTGGGCCTTCAGAGAGCTGTCGCTTATGCTGGTGCTCAGCTGCCTCCTTGGGGGGCACTCCCCACAGCCTGCAGGAGATACAGAAATGGGTGTCGAGAGAAGGGAGCAGGAGCGTCCACACCTCCCCTCACCCACTGTCCTCTCTCCCCACAGGCACTGCAAAGTCAACTCTGACCTGGGCTGTGGGGCGGGACCGCATCACCCCAGTTCCCCAGCCCCCACCAGGACCAAGCTGGAGCCCCCGCCCCTGCCCATTTCAAGCGCCCCACTCCATCCTGTGTGATCTAACCCTTACTCACCTCCTTCCTGTTTCCCAAAAACCCTTCGCGCCTTCCCCAGGCTGAGCCCTTCCCCTGCCAGCGCCCCGTGGGACACCTCCTTTTCCTCCGTCTTCTCATCTGTTACTTCATTTCCTTATTTTTCACCGGAAGTGCCAGCACCCTCCTCCACCTGGTTGCCTTTTCAACACTTGCCGACCGCAGGCTGCCTCATCTCAACACCGTTCTGGGTATTTCCAGCTGCATCTAGAACATTCCATTCCACCACGATTCCGGCACGGTCACGCTGATTTCCTTGCCCATCTACAAATACCTTCTTCCTCTCAACACTGCCCCACTGATACCTTCCTGTCTCCTCTATAAACACTCCCGTTGGCCGATTTTGGGTTACTCATCAGTCCCTCACGTGGGCTCTGAACGGATCTCGCAACAAGCCCCTGGACACACTTCTGTCCTAATCCCGCACCCCACACCTCTCTCGCTGTGACTTCCTCCCTCCTGCCACCTTCCCCACCTTCCCTCCTCAGCCTCTGCCCTGCTTGCCCCGCGTCTCTCGGTCCACCTCGTCTCCACGCCGGGGCCAGCCTCCCACCCACCATGTTCCCCTGAGCCTCCAAGGAGGGGGCTCAGGGGGGCCTGATGGCTTCCCGCCCCCCGTGTCCCCACCGCCCCCGTGGGCCAGGGGCAGTGCCCCGAGGATGGGCAACGGCACGTGGGAGGGCTGCCACGTGGACTCGCGCATGGACCACCTCTTCCCGCCCTCCCTGTACATCTTCGTCATCGGCGTCGGGCTGCCCACCAACTGCCTGGCCCTGTGGGCGGCCTACCGCCAGGTGCAGCAGCGCAACGAGCTGGGCGTGTACCTCATGAACCTGAGCATCGCCGACCTGCTGTACATCTGCACGCTGCCGCTGTGGGTCGACTACTTCCTGCACCACGACAACTGGATCCACGGCCCCGGCTCCTGCAAGCTCTTTGGCTTCATCTTCTACACCAACATCTACGTCAGCATCGCCTTCCTCTGCTGCATCTCCGTGGACCGCTACCTGGCCGTGGCCCACCCGCTGCGCTTCGCCCGCCTGCGCCGGGTCAAGACGGCCGTGGCCGTGAGCTCCGTGGTCTGGGCCACAGAGCTGGGTGCCAACTCGGTGCCCCTGTTCCACGACGAACTCTTCCGCGACCGCTACAACCACACCTTCTGCTTCGAGAAGTTCCCCATGGAGGGCTGGGTGGCCTGGATGAACCTTTACCGGGTCTTCGTGGGCTTCCTCTTCCCGTGGGCCCTCATGCTGCTGTCCTACCGCGGCATCCTGCGCGCCGTGCGCGGCAGCCTGTCCACCGAGCGCCAGGAGAAGGCCAAGATCAAGCGGCTGGCGCTCAGCCTCATCGCCATCGTGCTGGGGTGTTTCGCGCCCTACCACGTGCTCCTGCTGTCGCGCAGCGCCGTCTACCTGGGCCGGCCCTGGGACTGCGGCTTCGAAGAGCGTGTCTTCTCGGCCTACCACAGCTCGCTGGCCTTCACCAGCCTCAACTGCGTGGCCGACCCCATCCTGTACTGCCTCGTCAACGAGGGCGCCCGCAGCGATGTGGCCAAGGCCCTGCACAACCTACTGCGCTTCCTGGCCAGCGACAAGCCCCAGGAGATGGCCAACGCCTCCCTCACCCTGGAGACGCCGCTCACGTCCAAGAGGAACAGCGTGGCCAAGGCTGTGGCGGCGGGCTGGGCGGTGGCCCCGCCCTCGCAGGGGGACCAGGTGCAGCTGAAGATGCTGCCGCCACCAGTACAGTGACCCCCAGGCTGCCCAGAGCCCCGTCAAGTCTCAAGTCCCATCCCATCCCCTCCTGGTCAGATGTATGCAAGTTGTATGTAATAAGTTTTGTGTTAATATTCATAAGAATAGAAGAAACTAGGAAAAGAGTGAGGTTAATGTTGTCGCTGGTTAGCCATGATCTTTGTGTTGGGGAAACGGTCCCTTCATCATTCAGTTTCAGTGTGGCCGGCCCTATACCCGGTGGTACTGGGGACAGGGTGGTGACCAAGACAGCCCTGGGCCTGCCCTCGTGGGGGTCAGTCTAGTGGGGGCCAGACTTGTCAACAGAATGGTCAGGGCTGGGATGCAGAAGCCTGGGGGCCTGGCACAGAGTCCAAGGGGACATCTGTCCCAACCTGCAGATCAGGGAGGGCTTCCTGGATGAGGGGACAAATAAATTGAGTCAAATATTTGGTCTCAGTTGGATAAAGACCAAAAAAAGAAAAAAGTAGTAGTTTGGGATTATTTCTTCAACAAGAGAGATGTCTGCGACTCCATGGACGGGTGGAGGGCAATGGTCACTGAGTGTACAAGGTTCAATGTTGCCTGAGGGAGACCCCCCAGTAATATGGTGCAGAGAGACCCAGAAAAAGCAATGCTGAGTCCTCTAGATAAACCGCATTCTCCAAGCCTGGAGAAAGAGGATGGGGAGAGAGAATGTCAGAGTCCCAATCAAGGGAAATCAGGGCAGACTGCTCGGCAGAGGGCTGAGCAGAGCCGGCATGGGAAAGGGTCTTGGGAGAGAGGAAGGGTATTTATTCATTCATTCAATAAAGATCTGTTTGGTACCAGTACCTGTTATCTGCCCGGCCCTGTGCTGGGGGCAGGCTGTGACAAAGACAGCCCTAGCCCTGCTGTCTTAGTTACCACAAGTGGGTGGCTTTGACAAACAAGAAGTTATTCTCTCATAGTCCAGGGAGCTAGAAGTCCAATTCATGGTACTGCTCTAGGGGAAGGCTCTCTCTCTGCTGGCTCTGGAGGAAGGCCCTGGTCTCTCTGAGCTTCTGCTCGTGGGCGATCTTCATGTGGCTCTGCACCTCTCCTCCCCATCTCTGCCTGCCCAACTGCTTGTTTCATCTCTTTTATATCTTGTAAGGGATGGACTCAACACACACCTTGCACTAATCCAATCTCATTAACATAGCAAAGATGACCCATTCCTTAGTGGGATTATAACCACAGGTGCAGGGATTAGGACTTATGTTATTTTTGGGCCATAATTCAATCCGTAACATTCCACCCTTTGGCCTCCCAAAATTCATGTCCTTCCTACATACAAAACATTCACCCCATCGCATCACCCTCAAAGTCTTAAATCTCAACTCTAAGTCCCAAATCTCATCTTGTGAATTATCCAGATCAAATACAGAGGAGACGGGCATATTCCTATCATCCTGGGGCAAGATTCCTCTTCATCTGTGAACCTGTGAAATCTTGAATACAAGTTGTCTGCTTCCCAAGTACAATGGTGGAACAGGCAGGAGGGAGACATTTCCATCACAAATGGGAGAAACCGGAGGGAAAGAGGATCCAATGGGCACCCAAAACAAACCAAACACACTGCCATGGAGTCAGACCTGACTCCACAAAGGCCACATCCTCAGTGAACATACTATGACACGTGTCCTCTTATTTGTACAACACAACTTTCCAAATCTTTAAGTGTTTTCATTTTAACACAGGTCATTGTTAGATCCACCTCTTTCCTTCTGCATTTTACTATGAGCAAAACCATGCAGTCCCTTTAAGATCTTCCCTAGAAATCTCATCAGCCACATATCCAAGCTGATCACTTACAAACTCTACCTTCCAGCAAACATTTGAACATAATTCACACAAGTTCTTTGCCACTGCATAAAAAGCACCACCCTTCCTTCTCTGTCCAGTCCCATGTTCAGCATTTTCTTTTATAGCCTCACCAGAAGCACCTTTCTGGCAAGATTTCCACTCCGTATTTCTAGCAACATTCTGCTTCCGGCGCCTATGTATTCTCTAAGACAAGAGACTTTCTCTGCAGTTCTCCTCACTTTCTTCTGAGCCCTCACCAGAACTGTCTTTGACATCCATAATCCTACCAACAGTCTCTTTAAGGCAATCTAGGTCTTGAACCTAAAACCCATTAGTGCAGAGTCAATTCCAACTC